CAATCCTTTTTCATCATGTAATTTTTAAAAATTACCTGTAAATATCACCTTCCTGTGAGCCCAGAAGAGCGTTTCTGCGCAAAAGTTCGGGTGCTGTCCAGAGTAGATCTGAATTGCTGCAATTTCAGTAAGCGCCAAGAGTACAAAACTTACTATCTTGTTTAATCGAGAAGTCAAAGTTAAGAATGATCGTTTTCATTATTTTTAACAGAGATGCGAGTGGGCCTGCAAAGATTCTTCCGATTCTATGCAAACAGGCTTCTTACTCCATTGGGTTTTTAACCAAGTGCTTTTTATTGTGCTAGTTAGCCATTAAAATATGGCTGTAATTTGTAACGAAACTAATAATTCCATGAGTCGCAATACTCAATACTGCACTAGTTTCAGGAGATTCCACTAACCTTTAGCTGTTCTTTTATCAAGGGCTCTGATCTTACGAAGACCATAATCTGATATCTTTACTTGCCATCGATCGTCTACCAAACAACACTGCGAAGTCAGAAATCCGTGATATTGCAAAAAGGATCTGTGTATGAAAGAGAGACCCTAAAGGAAATTGTAATTATTATCTACCTTTTTGGACTTTGTATACATCAAACTTACCTCAGCCACATCCCGTAGTAAAGAGTACATAAAGAAATAATCCATCATCATAGATCCGTTCACAATCACATCACTGAGACTACCACGAGAACAGTACTTCCATATCGATAACAACTGAGGTCCATCCAAACACAAGCCAATGAACCGATTTATATTATCGTGTTCCATTTCGCGCATCTTTAAAAAGTGATCTATATCTCCGTTCTCTTCAATTTAAAATCTATGCTCTTCTCAAGCAAAATCTGGGTTTTGAGAGTGCGCAAAATTAAATTTGTTCTCGTCGCAGTGAATTAGGTCAAGTCGAATCTAATCAAAGTCGAGAAGGGAATAAGCTCTCTAATCTAGGTTTGTAATTCCAAATTCACCCTGTTTAAATCTTGTAGGACATTCATGCAAGCACCCTCAGTAGTACATCTAACCCGCTCTGTTTAGGCAATGAACAGCCAGCAGTTACATGTAGACATGCACATGGAGTATAGAAAATGCATGTGAAATTTCTGGAAAATTGTGGAAATCATGGGGATGGGAGACCTGGAGTTCCCAATTAGCAAACATTTTTTTTTTGTTTCATATTATTTTATCCTCTTTCAAAATCTTTAACATTGTAAGTTGTAATGCTGCAGTAGCTGACAAAGCAGTTTTTTATTCTCTCTTAGGCAAGTCTTTCCAAGGGAAAAAAATAGCTCAACCCTACTGATGTATTTCGGCGTTTCTACATGTTAC